AATTAGGTGTCTATTTACTTGTGACCACTCAGTGTATGTAATAGGTGAAAGACAAAATTGTGCTGAACAAAATTTGGTCCAGATTTAGAAGAAATAAAGTACTGTTTTATAACTCTGGATGTTTTAAGTCTAGATGGCGCTAAAGAAATGCAAATAGTTACGTAGTTATATAAGTCTTGACCAAACATCAACTTTTATGGTGACGTAAAAACACTGAAACATGTAAAGTCTTCTTAGATCTGGTCCCTATTTTTTTAAAAAAATATTTATTGTGTAATTATTTTAGCATAATACTACTTTTGATTGTATAAATTTGTCATTATCTTTTCAAAAAACAGAATATATGATATTTTTTACGGAAGGTATGTGAAGATGTCATGTGTCCGAATGTCCTCTATGAAATGAATGAGAATGTAGCATCTGTATATATAGATAAAATATTCCACATTTAACTCGAACAAAATACGATTGAGTAACACGTTGTATAATAAACAACATTAATTATCACCCTTTTACGTCATAGCCTTGGTAGAGATACAAAAATGTGTCAGTATCACCTGTTTCGATGGCTTATAAATCCCTAACAGAACGTGTCCCAAGGACATTGATCTGTAGATTGGAAGAAGACAAGATGGCCCGAAAAGAGTAAGCGCCTGTGTATTTTCATTTATTTATATGGTTGAATGTAAAAATCTCTTTACTAATATTTCTCTGTTCTGTTTATCAACTATCTTATTGTATCTCTTTCTTTAATATTTCACTAATGCACATGATTTCAGGAGATGTATTGATTTAGGTACACTTAAAAAACTGTTCAGGAAAACCAATCCAAAAGTAGTATACATTCGCCTGATTTTAGATATGTAAAATAGTTCCTGATCTAGATGCATAAAGTAGACATCTCTGTCTGTCTGTTAGCACAAGTTCTCGTGAGAAACCTGCTGATCTAATTGCGATTACGTTTGGTAGATGAACTCTTCCACAAATTATTTTAAGTGTTCTAATAATGGGTTGAACGACTGGAACTTCATAGCCATACCATCATAATGACACGGATGAGGGTTTGACTTAAACTGACGTTTAATACCGTGAGTGAGAGATCGATTTAAAGTGACGTTTAATGCCATGCGTTACATGGGCGAAAGATTAGTGTGCTGATGTTTAAAACAGTGGAAGTGAAAGACCCACGCCCCCAGTTACCAGCATTGCTTTCTAAGCCTGATCTTGCCGGTTTCTTGGGCTAATATAGTATATTATAGTTGTAAACTTAACAAGGGTAAACATTCATACGATGTCTTGCTTTAAAAAATGGTATTGCCTCGAGAATATATATTAAAATTTGTCTTTTCTCGGTCTTTATTACAACATAGAGTGTTTTTAGTTTTTATATTCCAAACTTATTGACCTTGGTCAATACGTGCCATCTAATTATCTTTATAAACATTTTAGATACAAGTTATTAGTATACTGTTTTTTCACCAGCGATTTGGTTGATGACTGGAAAGACAGGATATTACAATGATACTTTAGTGCTATTACCGAATACCATGCTTTCTGTCTGTTTGTTTTTAGCAGAAAACTGAATAATGGGCCAACCGCAGGGATAGTCTCTCGAATTTTATGGTTATGAGCTCCTATCCTTACTGATGAGCCACTGAGAGGCTTTATTCCTCTCTAAAATTGCTTCTTAGAAGTCTCCACATCTGATAAAATGCTCCACGTGCTCAAATGCAAATATGTTTTACACCATACGGATATATATATAATATATATTCAGACAACATGGCACGAAACGAAAAGCGTCGCATAGGAAAGATTGACAAATAAAATTAGGCTATAATATCTTATGAGAAATATAGTGTGTTTGCATGAGGGAGAGATATTCAAACACGTATGGCACATATCACAGCAGAAAAACGCCATCTATCAGGAGTTTTTGCAAGTAAAACTTAAGAGCAGATGTGAGGATCACAACATTCTACATTTAAATCAACCATCCACCGATTACATTCAGACCTAGTGGTATATACAGAGAGATGTGACATTTATAAGGTTTAGAATGACAACTTTGGGAAATATATATATACTGTTTATCCACACTCCCAGCACCGGTTGCAGTAACCAGTCTTAATTTAAACTTTATAAATATCTTCGGTCAAGAGCAACTTGGATGTTTTTTCTTCCTCAGCTACAAAAAAAGTATCAGTTGTTATAGAGATATGATAGTCCTCACTATGAAGCATACCTTTCTACAACTTCACACATAGATCCTGTACCAGAACCTTGACTGCTTTAAGCCTGTACCTTGTGTTAATTAGTAACCTTTGATAAATGGCTCTCTCCATTTTGCTATGGCAACCTAGAACTTTATATTTAGAGGTGTTGGTGTAGTAACAATAAGAAATGGAAAATAAGGAAACGTTTCCCCCTGTTCGTCTCAGTCGCTGTTTGTTTTTGCTTTAGAGCAAAGCTCCATTGGGCTATCTGCTACTTCCACCGGGGGAAATCGAACCCCGGATTTTAGCATTTTAAGCCCATAAACTTACCGGGAGACTTATTGCCAGCCGTTATTCAGTTTCACCAGTCTACTCCCGCAGAGAGACAAGTTAACGCACAACTTTTTGTTTGTTTGTTTTTAATTTCGCGCAAAGCTACACCAGGGCTATCTATGCTAGCCGTCCCTAATTTAACAGTGAAAGACTAGGGTGAAGGCAGCTAGTCATCACTATCCACCGACAATTCTTGGGCTACTCTTTTACTAACGAATAGTGGGACAGACCGTCACTTTATAACGCCCCCACAGCTGAAAGGGCGAGCATGTTTGGTGGGATTCGAACCTACGACCCTCAGATTGTGAGTCAAGAGCCCTAACCACCTGGCCAACGCAAAGTTAAAGATGCGCGTTCTGTTAAGTAAAAGTTTGGTATAATCTATAGTCCTTGACTTTAAATAAGGAGAACCAATCAAATGGAAAAACAAAGCAGACCACAATAGAGAAACGACTACAATGTTATATTATACACACCCTTCCAAAAAAAGCCCCCCAGTGGCACAGCGATATATCTACGTACTTACAACGCTAGAATCCGGTTTTCGATACCCGTGGTGGGCAGATCACAGATAGCCCATTGTGTAGCTTTGTGCTTAATTACAAACAAACACCCCCCCCCAAAAAAAATACACCTGGTTATGGAAACTTCACGCAGTAATGACGTGTAAACCTGCAAATAATGAGTGTTCGTTTATTCTTTGGGATAACATTCTTAAACCGAAATAATATCATCGTTCGAAAACCACACTTAGACGTACATCTAACCTGAGATTATGGACAATATCTAGTTTGTAGAGAAACTAACTTTGTTTAACACATTGTGACTTTTGTCCTGGATACATGATAGAACTGTTTATAACAGTTTTCATAGGAATATCCTACTGCAACATCTTAGGGGGATATCAAGATGTGTAGCTTGGATGTTAGCATCAGTAATACTGCTGTTAAGTAAATTAATTACCTGAAACTTCTCTACACGACTTACTCTTTAAATAGTTGATCTTTGTTACATGAAATCGTGTAAATAAAATTTGACCTCGAATGCTTTGAGATGCAAGAAAATAAGCATATGGCTCAAACAATTTCAGGTTATGATGTAAACTTGTTTCACACCACTAGACACTGCAGTGTCTGTAAAATATAATTTAGATTCATATCCATCTCGAAATGCAAACTTTACATTTGATGTTTACTATTCAAAAGGTGAGCCCCCAGTGGCACACCTGTATTTACAACGCTAGAAACCGGGCTTCGATACCCGTGGTAGGCAGAGAACAGATAGCCCATTATGTGGCTTTGTGCTTATCTTCAAACAAATAAAAAAAGTTCGAAAATATATTAACTTAGTTTTACTGTAACGTGATAAATGTTTTTAAACATAGTATTTTCAATAAAACGATTTACAATTAATTAGACATTTTTCTATCGATTGCTCTCGTGCTCATAAGGTGCTATTCAGGTTGAAAATTACAGTTACAATAATTGCGTCTAATATTGACTCCAAAGTGAATAAGATACAACCGAATTAAAGTTCCAATAATTGCGAATTACAATTAATAAACAATTATTGGAACTTTAATTCGGTTGTATCTTATTTACTTTGGAGTTAATATTAGAACAAAGTGATTCAGATACAGCCAGATTACAGTTCCAATAATGGCTTTTAATCTCAACTTCAAAGTAAATCCGATACAGCCGGCGTGAAGTTGGATACCGTACTAATCCTTCAATATAGCTAAAAGTATCGCCATTTCATATAAAATTAGATTGTTTAACTGCTAAAGGTATTAACTTAAACAAAAAAGCATCGTTAGATAAATCACTCGCAACATGTGAAAAGGAAAATGTCAGTAGAGTATACAGGTCAAATGTTAGACAAAAAATATTCAGCGTAGATGTTTTAAATAGTGAAAATCGAAGTATCTTTAAGCATGAATGTATTGTATGTGTAAGAAATTTTGAAAAAAAAAAAACCTAATAAACCGAAGTTATAATTACCAATATTTGATACATTTGATCTTATAAGACAATCTGTTTTATAAAATGTGTATAGTTTGTTTGTTTGATTGTTGATTAACACAAGAGAACACAATGAGTACATCTGTGCTATGCAGGTATCGAAACCCGATTTTTAGTGGTATAGGCCACCGGACTTACTGCTGAGCTAGCAGGGGACAAATTGTAGATATACCATACATGATTTCAGGGGACAAATTGTAGATATACCATACATGATACCATACATGATTTCAAGGGACAAATTGTAGATATACCATACATGATTCCAGGGGATAAATTGTAGATGTACCATACATGATTTCAGAGGACAAATTGTAGATATACCATACATGATTTCAGCATGAGAGTCAATGAGTTAAATTTCCTTATAAACATTTTCTGATATAATGTTGTCTTTCCTTTACTATAAGAGGTTTGTTTTAGAGCAAAGCCACATTGAGCTATCTGCTGTGTCTACAGCGGGGAATCGATCCTAGGATTTTAACGTTGAAAGTCCGTAAACTTACCGCTTTCCCGCCTGGGGGACACCATAAAAAGTATCTTATAATAATTCAAGACATTTATTAGTTTTTTGATGTAGTTAACGTTACTAATATAATAATTTTTATTCAAAACAACAGTTTTATTTCCCCTATGTATTTAAATTTGCTATTATCAAATTTCTTTGTTTACTAAAATCAACCAGCTATATATTATTTAACGAAATAAGTTGTAGTTATGAAAATGTTAGACTGATAACGTGATTTCTCACCGTACCAAAAGACTCGTCAGTAGTAAGGACACACGCGTTGATTGGCTGCCTCAGGGGAGGGTAAGGGGGAAGAGAGGGTAATGTCATCAAAGATAGTTCCAAATGTTACCACCAGAGGTCGTCAGCGTAGATGGCATCATTGTTTCAATAGAAAAAAAGAGGCTGTCACTATCTTAGGGGTCGTCACATATTATTCTTTAACCAATTAGTTATTTCTTATTTTTAGTATTTCTGAAGGAAATCATCTATTATATATATATATATCCGTTCTCAACAGTGTTTTCGACCAATATAAGTTATATATTATTCTCTTGGAAGTTGTTTCAGCTTTTCATATTTGTTTTTAACTGACCCTATTTCTTAATTTTTTTACAGACTGAACCACAAGGTATCATTTTTTTCTAAAGCTATTGCAACATTGTTGACTTTTCAAGTATTTGCACCTGCAGCAGGATGTCCTCCTAAAGAAAACATTTTCCCACAATGTACATGTACGACTGGAATTGTCATATCGTGCAATATCAAGACAGTTGAAGATATTCCAGTGTGGGCTTTTCGAGGATACAGTATTAGTCGCCTTGAACTCACAATGTCTCAAACAGCAAATAAATTTACATTTGGCCGTTATTTTTTCATGGGGCTTACTATAAAGTTTATTGAGCTGAAATCATTTTCTCTGGCAACCTTAGACTTGATGAAGGACTTCGAAGGTTTAGAGAAGTCCCTAACTGGATTATCAGTCATAACATCCTCTATTGATAATGTAACTAGTACAGAACTTCAACAACTAAACAAAGAGTTTTCTCTATTTCTAACTCTAACCATGGAAGGGAGTATGTGTCTGTTGAATGATGATATTAATTATATAGGAATACCTAACATCAAGACCTTTACTTGCACTGGCAATTCAGGCATTAAAAAGGCAGACAAAGCTCCAAATTACATGTTATCAGATTTATCGAAACTTGAAAAAGTTGATCTAGGTGGCGTTGGTTTCACAGGTATAGAAAGAAACGTGTTTCCCTCGGATGCAAGTAAACTAAAGATAATCAACTTAAGGTAAATTTACATTATCAACAATAAAAGTGTTTTTAATTGAATAGAGTTGTTTAAACATCTGTTTAACAACAAGTATAAGCTTGGAATGGTCCATTCTTTCATTGGGATGTGTGTGTGAGCCAGACTAGTTTCGGAGAATTCCACTCCTCATCAGTGACCCTGGACACTACCACCAATGAAATATCAGACCATACCAAGCCTTTATAGTAGTGAGGTATCGTAAATCGTAATGGTTTATTTAAGTTAATACTTAAATACACCATTTCGAAAAGTGTTTTTGATTTTTTAGACCTAGGAATAGCAGCTGATTCAGAAAAGTACTTTTCTTATATAACCTGCAAAACTAAAAACACCATAAATATGTTATTATATGGATAGTAATATGTAGATAAAAATATTACCTGTTATTATAGGTATAATAATGTGTAGATAAAGGCATTACCTGTTATTATATGGATAATAATGTGTAGACAAAAACATTACCCGTTATTATATGGATAGTAATATATAGATAAAGACGATACCTGTTGTTATAGAGATAATAATATGTAGATAAAGACAATACTTGTTGTGAATGTTCTACAGAGATAACAAGCTGTAGATAAAGGCATTACTTGTAATTTTCTACAGAGATAATAATATGTAGATAAAGGCATTACTTATTGGTAAATGTTCTACAGAGATAACAAGCTGTAGATAAAGGCATTACTTACTGATAAATGTTCTACAGATATAATAAGCTGTAGATAAAGGCATTACTTACTGATAAATGTTCTACAGATATAATAAGCTGTAGATAAAGGCATTACTTACTGATAAATGTTCTACAGAGATAATAAGCTGTAGATAAAGGCATTACTTATTGGTAAATGTTCTACAGAGATAATAAGCTGTGGATAAAGGCATTACTTACTGGTAAATGTTCTACAGAAATAACAAGCTGTAGATAAAGGCATTACTTACTGATAAATGTTCTACAGAGATAATCAGTTGACGAAACTCGAAGTGCATTTATTCGAAAGAATGCCAGCCCTTCGTGAAGTCTATCTACAAGGAAACAAGCTAACCACGATAGAGAAAAATATATTTCAACCAGTATGGAATCAACTGACTCACCTTTACGTAAACTGTAAGTATCCTGAATAATCATAAAACTAACTTGTGTATATAGAAATGTCTTTCAGCCGATGTGGAATCAACTGGTTCACTTTGTCATAAATGTAAGTATCCTGAATAATCATAAAACTATTTCTATCTAAAAATAGAGCAACATATTTCACTAAAATGTTTTATATACGTTAATCGAGTTTCGTTCATGCATCAGCATTTTATAGAGATTATCTTATAATAATCATATTTGTCTTCGATGGCTTAAATACATAGTAAATGTTTCATTCACCATTGTAGTAAACTGAATAATCATAAAAATATAATAGCTCAGAGGTAAGCATCGTGGCTTTTGACGCTAAAGTTTGCGATTCGATCCCCTCGGTACATGGACACAGTGCAGACAGCTTATTGTGTAGCTTTCTGTATACGTAACGTACAGTAACAAAAGCTCAAGTATTCTGTTACGTTTTAAATGTCTCGAAATGTTTGAGTAATTTGAAACGAAACATTTTTTTCTAGGTAACAGCGTTGTTTGTGACTGCGATGTCGCGTGGATTCTCTACAACCCAAAGAAACCTGCAAATTTCATACCTCCAACAAGATTATTTAAAAGCTCAAGTATTCTGTTACGTTTTAAATGTCTCGAAATGTTTGAGTAATTTCAAACGAAACATTTTTTTCTAGGTAACAGCGTTGTTTGTAACTGCGATGTCGCGTGGATTCTCTACAACCCAAAGAAACCTGCAAATTTCATACCTCCAACATGTCAAGGTTCGTCTTCGACGGCTTCAGTGAGCAAGAAGTTTATTGGACTGATATTAACAGACATTGAGTTAGAAGATCTGTGCCCAACATGGATCCATTTTGTGTAAGACAATAACTGTCACAGTCGATTGTCAAAAACGCATGCTGTTCACTTGGAAGTAACAAGTATCTCAATAAAGAATACTAAAACACAATTCAATTTAAATTTTAGTAAGTATGAGGCATTTTTTACAAAGAGCTCGACAGCAACAAATATATATATATTATATTTTTACCTCTTTCAAAACTATTAACGAACCGAATTGTAAAATTGTGAGCTTTTACGTCAAACCCCTTTTGCTAAGACAGAGAAATAAAATTAATCAAAGTACCACCGTTGACTTTTTGTTGATAATCCTTCCAGTGTAATACACAATTTGCCTAGTTATCAATTATTAGATCTTGGAGAAAGAGTTTTTGTCAGTGGACTTGGGTCAGTTATTTTAGAATTAACTATGTTTCTTTCTTTGCTAATTTTAAAACTTATTATTAGAACTAGAAATTTTGACTAAAGAAATCCGTAGTTTTCGTAATATTATAGCTGAAATCTCTGGATTTTTCCAATGTAATTTTCTTTGAGTGATTTCAAAAACAATAAAAAAGCATTAATGTGGATGATTATGTCAGTAAGTTACAATTAGTTTTCAATAATCCTGTTAAGTTTTAAAAAAATTGCAGTTTCACCCTAATTGAAGCGATAGAACGTAAATTACGCATATAATTTATTTAATTTAAAGAAAGATAACAATATTAATAAATTCCTATCAAAGTAAGCTATGTACTCAGAGCAAATCTAAAAACCAGCCTGGCTATCAGCATAGCTAATTAAGTATGATTTTTCTTACCTTCCTACTTATAAAGATTAGAATTCATTTCATCAGTTGGGTACCGCCGTTGTTAAAGTTAGTTTCGGCCATAAACCCAATAATATCTCACGAGATTCGGCAGGCTAAGGAGATTTAGATTAGTCCTAAATATATATCTATTAAACTAACAATGCAAAATAACCTTAATAATATAAACATAACAATAATGATAATAATAAATGAATAAAAAGTAATAACATTAAACATGCTAACTAGTATAACCAATACTGTTTATGAAAGTTATAATATACAAGTAATATAGTAAGCCTTACTTACTTACGGAACATAAAAACAACGGCCGCTGCTAGCAGGACATTTTGAGTACAAGGAATTTTTTCATTGACATCACCATCAATCAAACCGCTATGAACAACAGCGGAAGTCAGCTTAAAAGAAAACATTCCAAACCCAAAATACAAATAAATAGAACCTTAAACAATGTATTTCATTCATATACATATCACAATTTGAATTTAATGCTGTTAATCACGTAAAAATAATTTCCCAAAAGAAAAACTTTCCATCTTTTTCAATGTCAATACAAAGCAAATGGATAAATAAAATACAATAAAATAAAATGGCTCTATTAAGTACATTCTCATGACTATATTAATATGAAATACAGCCTAATATAAAATATAAATAGTTCAACATTGTGCAATAAACTTTATTGAAAAATATGGACAACACAACGTTTACAGTACACAAAAAATGTTAAAAATTTAAAAAAAGACTACATGTTTCGGTAGTTTCCGCTACCATCACCAGGAGTAAACATCTACGCGAACGGCGGGTTTTTATACAAGAATGGTTGGACTCACTGTAATTCACAGGTGTTTTCATATATTAGCTTTGTAGTTTTATATATACACCTTGCTTCCTATAGCAAGCTACCGTGCATATGTAAAATGGATTTAATGGTGCTCCGTGGTAAGTCAGTATTTTATAAAACACCAGAGAAAGTCTGTAATGAATATTGGAAGCGATCATTAGGTAGGTTACGCTTCCTAACGACGTGTATTATTAAACATTAATTTTCACACATTGTAATTGTTTGTCAAACACGTGCTGTCCAAAAAACGAAATAAAACAGTTATGTCACCATTCCATGTACACAATCACTTTTGTGGCACTTTAACAAAACACAAACAGAAACTTAGATTCAACTGAAAACCTCAGTCCAGATGTTATTTGACTATTACTAAGCATACAATAGTACAAGTACATTACTTCTACAGTGAAGATGGCTATATAATTTGTGAGAATATTTCTTACGTATCAGTAGATTAAAATATTGGCTTGAAATATTTTAAATTTATTATATTTAAACATTACCGACAATGAGATAGGATATTCCTCTGGGTCTCTTATCCGCACTTTCTTTTACGTTTTCGATTTCCCGTGATCATATTTGCCAGTTACTTTGTTACCAGTCAAAATGAAATGAAAATATACAAGTTAATTACTCTCACTAGACCAAAATTTTACATGGCTCTGAAACGTCAATACAATGGAACTAAAAATGGAACATGAAGTACGAAAAGCCCCTCCGTGGCACAGCGGTATGTCTGCGGACTTACAACGCTAACATCCGGGTTTCGATACCCGTGGTGGGCAGAGCTCAGATAGCCCTTTGTGTTGCTTTGTGCTTAGCTTGAAACAAACCGAAGTGCGAAAAACGAGATTTCAGAAAGACGAACTTGAAAAGTGCATTAACTATAATCCAAACAAACATTATTTTAAAAATCATTTTATATCATTTATTTAGCAAAGAATCGGTACCAATATAAAACATTTAAGCCTTATTTTAAACATTTACCTGAAAGTTTATTTAAGCGGTTGAAACATAACCCAGTTCCCGCTCATTAGGCCTAGAGCTTTCAGAGAGCTGAACGTGTGCACATTGGCAGGTCTAGAGCTTTCAGAGAACTGAACGTGTACACAGTGGCAGGTCTGGAGCTTTCAGAGAACTGAATGTGTGTAGATTGGCAGGTATAGACCTTTCAAAGAGCTGAACGTGTGTACATTGGCAAGTATAGACCTTTCAAAGAGCTGAACGTGTGTACATTGGCAGGTCTAGAGCTTTTAGAGAACTGAAAGTGTACACAGTGGCAGGTCTAGAGCTTTCAGAGACCTGAACGTGTGTACATTGGCAAGTATAGACCTTTCAAAGAGCTGAACGTGTGTACATTGGCAGGACGGACTAGAGCTTTCTTAGAGCTGGACGTGCGTACATTGGGAAACCCCACAATCATCAACCAAACATACAAAGAGTTAAAAAAAATGGAAACCATAAATAAATTAAATAATCTCATCAATGTTTTTAAAAATATCTCTATTGTCAAACTTCCTCAAATAAAAACAAACATTTTAAAATAAACTAAAATTTGTCATCCTTTCAAATACTGAAGACCTTATCACAGGTAGGTTCACATTCTATATAACATTATTTCGGAATATTTGAATAATCATAATATACAAGTTGAGTCACATGTGGTGTTTCATACGGTTTGTCTAAACTTCCTAAATCTAAACGTCCAGTTAAATCCGTTGTTTCTCATATTGGTAAATACAGTCACTAATTAGCTTGTTTGCTTGGAGATCTTTTCATCCCATCATAAAACATAGATTTTCTGTAAAAAATGGTTTTGAAGTTTCTGGAAGTAATAGAGAAATAATGTTCTATCAGTCTATATTTTATGTCATTTTAAATAATGCAGTTTTTATGCATGAACCCACCTTTTGATGAAGTTGTCAATTTACTTGTACCAGTTTAGATAACACAGTATTTGTACATGAACACACCTTTTGATGAAGTTATTAGTTTACCTGTACCAGTTTAGTTAACACAGTTTTTGTACATGAACACACCTTTTGATGAAGTTATCAGTTTACCTGTACCAGGTTAGATAACACAGTTTTTGTACATGAACACACCTTTTGATGAAGTTATCAATTTACCTGTACCAGTTCAGATAATGCAGTATTTGTACATGAACACACCTTTTGATGAAGTTATCAGTTTACCTGTACCAGGTTAGATAACACAGTTTTTGTACATGAACACACCTTTTGATGAAGTTGTCAATTTACTTGTACCAGTTTAGATAACACAGTTTTTGTACATGAACATGTGTTTTGGTGAAGTTATCAATTTACCTGTACCAGTTCAGATAATGCAGTATTTGTACGTGAACACACGTTTTGTTGAAGTTATCAATTTACCTGTACCAATTCAGATAATGCAGTTTTTGTACATGAACACACCTTTTGATGAAGTTATCAGTTTACCTGTACCAGTTTAGATAACACAGTTTTTGTACATGAACACACCTTTTGATGAAGTCATCAGTTTACCTCTACCAGTTTAGATAACACAGTTTTTGTACATGAACACACATTTTGATGAAGTTATCAATTTACCTGTACCAGATTAAATAACACAGTATTTGTACATGAACATGTGTTTTGGTGAAGTTGTCAATTTACCTGTACCAGTTCAGATAACACAGTTTTTGTACATGAACACACCTTTTAATATTATCATTTTACTTATTCACGTGGTTTTCAGCGCGATAAATTGGTTAAGTTTGAACTAAGTATGTGTTCATTGAAATTGTTAATAATACGTTTTAACCAAATTTTATCATAAAAACATAAAAATATACTAGCTAAACTAGGTGCTAATTTTGACTATGGCCACTCATGAACTTCATTAAGCCAATAATAAACCGTACTATATATATATATATATGTGTATATATATATATATATATATATA